TCTGGGGCAAGATTCAATGTTGCAAACAAGCCAAAACAGCCAGAAATGGCCTTTCCTTACCTGTGTAAGGGTGAAAGCCTTTAATGTATTTCTCTACAAAAATACCAGTTCACACTGCTTAGAGCATTAAACATCTCACTGCATGTTCAAGTAGCCATTAGGTTCATATAGTATTTTTTCAAATGAGGAAATAAATGTTTGAATAGCAAAAGTTATTGTAATTAAGCAAGACTTTTTTTTTAAGGTTTAAAAACTTAATTTCCATTCTTATTGCCATATCACAAAACTATAATAGGAATTTCAAATCTCTCAGTGTCTTGTGTGGATGAATTTACCACGTGCAATATTAACCTGTGTGTTCTCCCAGTGCTCATGAGGGAGCCTGTAATTCCTGGCCGTATTTTAATTCCTGATTTATCATTTTGGGAGCCTGGGAAGCAGTTGGAAGCTTGTGCTTACAAAAGCAGCACAGAATCACAAGGCAGAGGGATGGATGGATGGATGGATGGATGGATGGATGGATGGATGCTGCCTTACCTTAAAGATTAACACACACAAAACTGTGCTTTTTATTAACACCTTTTGTCAGGAGTTATTGCAGTTCTGTGAAATTTAAGATCTTTTGGGGATGGAAGTTTGGTTATGTTTTAAATCCAGCATCAGATTTTTGTTGTTCACTATGATTTCATCTTTCTGAACGAGGTTGTTTTTCTTTCTTAATATTGGCCAAAATCTTTCTCTGTGTCTAAATTCCTGCTCAGGTTTTTGGGAACTGTGGAATACTGAGTGAAGTGTGGTGAGGAAAGTGGGATTTGACACACAAGTCTCTGTACCCACAGCAGTTTGCTGTGCTTCCTGTGCACGTTTGGTGAATTCCAGCCATTATTTTGGAGAAGCTGTAATTAAAAGTAGCTGCCAAATTCTGTCAGTTCAGCGACCCAAAACATTCTGAAACGAGGTCAATCCCTGTCTCAACGGTCAAGAAAATTGCCAAGTTTAAGAAAGCAAAGTCACTGCCCTCGTCTGTCCCCCCCTTGCCATATGGGAGCATTCAAACTGTATCAGCATTCCTAAGGCAGCTCTGGCGAGCCAGGCTGAATTATTCCTTTGTCCAGGGAACAAGGCACCAACACAAACTGAAAATACCCAAAATCTCTTTGTTGTGTGTGTAAAACTTGAGTTTTTGGATGCAGATCTCCTGCATGACTTTAGGAGTGCCAGGAATCTGTTACCTCTGTGCTGGTTTTCTGTTTCCATGGGTGCAAGAACTGAATTTGTTCTTTTCTTTCTTATTTTTTCCTCTGTAGAAAGCAGGCCTTGAGGATTTAACCTGTATGTTAACCATTCCTGTATCATTCCAATAAAGTTGGTTTAGAACACTTTCTCACTCCATGACTTGTGTGCATGTTTTGTTCACAGTTTGAAGTTTGAAGCTGAAAGAAGTGAATTTTTCAGATGGAAATACTGCCTTTTAAAAGCTCAGGATTTATACAAGGTGAACATCAGGGATCTGCTGCTGCAGATGAAGTCTGCTGGCTTGGATCTCTCACCTGTTGCAGCTAATGGGATTTAATTACTAAATGGGATTGAATTTAGGATGCACCTGTCCAAACTGTGTCAAGGTTTGGGTTATTCCTCATTCTCCTGCTTTCCCACTCCTTCCCCAGGCAGGGACAGTCGGAAGTGGCTGGGACACAGCAGCTGCTCCCACACTCAGGGCTCACCCAGCCCTCCCCTGCTCATTCACAAACTGTAATTCATTAGCTTTGTGCTGCTCCCAGCCGGGAGCTGTGCTGTTTTCTATTTGTGTTGCCATAGGGCAGTGCAGGATAAATTTTAAACTAAAACTTCACTTACACCTTTCCTGTTTGCCAGGTAAATCAGCAGGTACCTCCTTCTTCCTTCACTGAAGTTCTGCACCACCTGCAAGATCTGCAGAGTTACAGAAACGACATTCGCTGCCTCTGACCTGCCCTGGGGTTTGCCCAAACTCCAGACTTCAGTTTGCATTGTCTGGTGAAAACTAATAACCTGATTTTTTCCAGAGTGGTTGGTAATTTGTGCAGGATCAGCTTCTGTGTGAGCAGCTGAAGCACAGCCAAGCACCATCAGGCACAGGGGAAAAGGGCCAGCAATGCCATTTCTAAGTTGTAATGAATCCCATTTACCCCCCGCGTATCCACTCCACTCATGCAACTCAGAAAAATCGCTGCTTTGCTTTTTTTTTTAATTAAAAAAATCCTAAAAACCCAGTTGTTATTCATTAATGTAAAGTTCAATGAAAATAGTTTCCCAAAATCTTTAAACCCCAAGCTACACATGTGCATGCAATGTGTGACAACTTTCCCTACACCAGACTGCTCAGATCCTGATCCCATGGCACAAATAAATCATTCCCAATCGTTACCATTTACTGAGTTTCCTGCAGAAATATTCTGTGACTTATCCATATTCTGGGATCTTGGTAGAATGTTTTAGATTGAAGGGTTCGTTACGGCAGTTTTGAAGTTTATTATTAAAAATTTTCGACTGTATTGGTAAACTTGCAGAAATTAAAAAGAATTTTTAAAGTTTAGGTGATGAAGTAGAAATTGCTGGATTAATACAGGTAAGCACAACAGTGAGTACTGAGTATGCAAAATATATATACTTAGTGGAAAACACACATATTTAGTACAAAATATAAGTGTTGTATTCATGAAGTATCAGACTTGGCCCAGTATATCTCATAACATGAACAGACAGTAATTCATTATGTATATTATTATATATATATTTATAAATATTTATACATATACAGAATATAGTAAGTAATATATAATTCTTATGCTGTGATTCCTTCTCTTAAAGGTAAGTTTATTGTAAATATCATCAGGAACGTGTCCATTTCTTCATTTTAATTTGCTCACTATTTCAAAATCCTTAATAAAAGGAAACCAGCACATCATTAATCCACTGTAAGCATCACTGTAATTCCCACATGGCCTCAGTTCTTTCCGAAACCCTTTCCCAGCAGGCAGAGAAGGTTATTTTGGTTACACGGAGCGAAGTGGATCTCACACACATTTCCCAGCCAGGAGCTGCCCGAGT